TGCAAGACACCATCTCTCCCCCTGGATGGACCTAGGGACTTGGTCCAGAAATCCTGCAGATTAGCAATGTGGTGTGGCATGGTTCAGTCTGCTGGAAATCTGGGAGGAGAGAGCCCTGTAGTGTGCATGCATGTGTGAGAATGTGGAGGCTGAGATCCTCCCCAGGGCATTGTCCTGGGAGACAAAACAGAAGTCAAAACCAGACACCTATTTCTTGTAAGAATCAGACAAAAATCGCTGTAAAAGGTGAAGTAAGTAATTTGTGTGCAAAGAGCAAAACCCTTAGTGCCAGTCCCCACAGACCAACACTTAGCAGGTCCATGGCTGCCTTGAAGCATCAGATCAAGGAAATGCCCAACAGTCCAGAGATATCTGGAGACAGAAACCAAACCATGCTATTCTACAAGAGCTGAGCTATTTTTGTCTGAACTGTTTTCCCTGGCTTTGTTATCCGTTTCCTGGCCTGGAAGAGAGACATATCTGTGGGTTTGGGGCCAGTGGGGGAGGAGGGTGTTATTTGCCATGGGGCTCCCCTACCACATAGCAGCACTGAGGATTGGTGCCACAGGGAGAGAGAGAGGCCATGGGGCCATGCAGCACTGGGAATCTTTTGTACCTAGTAGGGACTAGCTCTGCCACAGCAGCAACTGGTAGTGGCTGGCCCAGGCCTGCCTCTGTATTTCACTGGGCTGTGCACAGGCTGGCACATGGTGGCCGTGTAGAATAACTATTGACAAAATAGCATTGGGAGAATGTATGTACCAGGCGCCAGCCAGAAAGGCATAGGGTGGTTGGTGCCTACTGTTCTCGGTTTCATATCTGACTGTTTGCTAGGCAGATGTAGGTCACCTGACAACCTAGAACTTGGTATTTCATTGGCAGCGATGGAGGAGACTCTTCATGTACGGGTGGGAATTCAGAGAAAAGAAGGAAGTGAGGAGGGTTGTATTGCTTTTTTAACAAAAAGAACAAGGCTGCTCCTGCTCTGGAGCTTTCCACTTTCTTGATAGGTTATGGAGACTTCAGTTCCTTCAGGGCTCTACCCAGACACCGGGTTAATGTGGGAGCTCATGCCCTGGCAGGAAAGATACATGTTGTGCCCATTGAGGATGAGCTGTGCATGTACCGCGGCATTTTTCAATATTTTTGGGAGCATGGAAAATTATTGCCCATAGTGGTGCAGGGTCTGTCTCTTGTCTTACTGGATATATACTGTCAGACCAGGAAAATTCCTGGGGATCATCCACACTAGTGAGCATACAGAAAAAGAAGTTTCCTCTCTGGGATTTCAGCTAGGGCACAGTACTGTGTGCAGAAAGAACCGGACACTGTGTGCATTGTCAGAGAATTTGGCCTCAGGGGAGCTAACAGGGATGCTGTGACAGGATACTGCAGACACAAAGACTTATATTTCCAATCAGGATTAATAATTGTTCAGGCCATCAAACATAAATAGCTGGTGTTTAGACAAATGAATTTTATATCAAGCTTTTGGTCATATGTATTCACGCACTGCCACATCAATTGAAAGCAGGATGAGAGCCATCAAAGCAGCAATAGGTTATGGGCAATCTGACCTGATGGGTCCTGGGAAAAGTGTAGGTTTCAGTGCTGAGTACACAAATCAGCCATGCTAAGCCTGCATGGGAAAAGAACAGCCAGAATATATTGCTCATCAGTATGGCATGAGACGAGTCAGTCTGAAGTTTGTGCACGCGCACAGTGGGCACATGCATAGTCTTCTGTCTTTTGGGGTTGATTTGTTTACTGATGTTCTTACTGGCTGTATTAGCAACACCATGCCTCAAAGTGTCTGGATCTGTTGCTATCACCAAAACAATGATAACCAGGTACAGAACTCTGTTTCCGTGGAGGAGATGGATGACATAGGGACAGAAATCACAGATCTACAATGCATTGAATAAGGCAGAGGAGAGTTCAGTGGTTCTGACAGCTCTCCTCCCTGGCAAGCTGACCACTCAGCTCACCATTTGGCAAGAGCCATCAAATATGTGCTTCATAGAGAGAACTGAGTGTGAAATGCAGCTATGAGATAAAATGTATATAGTAAATGAGAAAAGCATCTGTTATAGCAGCATAACTCACATGTGCAAAACTACCTATTAGATATGCTTGTGAGGTGATTGGAGTTGCAGTACAGCACAAACTGAATGTGAAAATTTGGCCCAGAAATGTGTATCTCATCTCTGACTTTTAAAATTCCATGGAATTAAACTTTAAATCATCTCAGTACTTCTGTAAATAAACAGAAGTTGGAATTTTTTTATTCACAGTTCTAAATAAATAACAGATGATGCTGATGAGATTTTGCAGGCTCCTGATTTTTAGAGTAAAAAAACCATGAGCAGCATGAAAAGTGGATTGTCCCCTCTATTGGCTATCTCATTCAGTAAAAAGCCTGATGTAGCTCAGATAGGCTGCCAAGATTGCAAAGGCTAAAAGATTCATAAATGCGGGCCCACCACCTGTGCCTCTGCAGTCCAGCTGAGGCATTGGCATCCCATTTGGAGGGAAAACAAGAAGAAACCATTGCTGACTCACAGAGACAGGTGGAGGAACAAAGCAGTGGCTTTGGCTTAATCATGGAATTGACTGTAGAGGAAAATTTTTACTGTCAAAGGATACACTCCATTTGTGATCAGCTCCACTGTTCTTGGCTAAAAAATAAATATTTCTCCTTGATGTTCCATTGAATTATCAGCATAGGAGTGAAGCCTTCTTCTGGTGTTGACTCAGTTAAGAGTCTCTAGGCCTCATTCAAATGCTGCTGCAGTCAACCAGATAGGAAAAAGAGTTAGTCACCAACAAGCCATCACACCAAAACATAGAGCGTTTGTTATGGACCTGAGTTATGACTCAGACTGATGGCTAAGTAAAGGCTCCTTCTATTTGCCTTTGCTCTTTAATTATTAATTTTCATAAGAAACATTTATAATAGCCTTGTTACAACACCTTGAATTAGAAAACTTTTGTTTCTTTCAAGCTGGAAGTTTTTACAAAAATAGAATCTTTGAAATCTTATCAAATTTAGATATAAAAGTATTAAAGGAAGATCAGCATTGTAATAAGATATTACAAAATTACTGAAATTAAATGCTTCATCTGCACTCAGCTCACACATTTTACAGATTTTCAATTTGTAGAAATTGAAAATTTCAATTTGTAGAAATTGAAAATTTCCTCTCATCCTTACCCGAGAGGAAAAAATGCTAGCAGCTCAGAACTATCTGCAGTAGAAGAAAGGAGTTTCCTATCCTGCTTCAGTCCCATTTGGTTGCTCTTCATTGTGAAGTTATTTGCTATGGGTGACTTATTCCTGTAATTTTTAAAGGCCTTCTAATAGAAGAGGTGGGATGAGGCAATGGAAGTTGGTAAGTACTTCCTGAGTCTGAAGACCAAAGCAGCTCATAACTTGTGGTCCCCGTTTCCCTTCTGCTCTATTCATTCCCCAGACTGGCATTACTTCTTGTTTATTGGGCAGGGACAAGCTAAGTACCTTCTAACACACAAGTCTCAGCCACACTCAGAAACCTTAATGAAGGTTAAACTTCCTGCAGACTAGGTTTCAAAACATAAGAATATTTTTGAATGCAATTAAAAGTCTTAATAGGTTTCCCAAAGCGAATGCCGAATGAAGAACACTGCTCTTTGGCAACTTGCAAATAATGGAGAAAATTCTAACCACAATGTCTCTGAAGCTATCCCTAGAGTCAAACTGGAATTTTTATTGCTGCATTGCCTTTTTAGTCATGCCACTTTTTAGCACTTTCAGTTTTAGAAGTGAAGGATAAACCTATGAGCAAAAGTTTCTGATGCCATTAGAAGCAGCTTGTTCAGCCTCTGTTGTTTATGAACTACAGGTCATTCCATTTCTTTCAAGCCTCTGCATTGCTAAGGTTTCCAGGAAGTTGTCAGTACTGTGGCATAAGTTAACGAGTAATTTTATATACTGCACTAAGAATGGCTATCATTCCATGCTGGCGGAACTTATCCATGTTCATGTATGGTAGGTTGACCTTTTCTGGACACCAGTTGCCCACTGAGCTGCTCTATCACTCCCCTCCTCAGCAGGACAGGGAGAGGGAGAAAATAAGATGGAAAAAACCTCATGGGTTAAGACAAAGGCAGTTTAATAAAGCAAAATTAAGGTTACGCTTGTGCAAGCAAAGATAAGAACCAAAATATTTTGTTCTCTCAGCAAGCAATATTCGGTCACTTCTCAGGAAGCAGTGTTTGCACTGGAAGACAAATATCAGGATAGTGAATGGCCCCATTTTCTCCTTTCTCTTTTATAACTGAGTAGATGTCATATAGTATGGAATATCCCTTTGGTAAGTTTGGGTAAACTGTCCTGGCTATGTCCCCTTCCAGGATCTTGCCTACATCCAACCTACTGGGGGATTGGAATATTGGAGAGACATGGCTGATGCTCTGCAAGCACTGCTTAGCAGTAGCCAAAACACTGATGTGTTATCAATACCTTTCTAGCTATCAATGCAAAGCACAGCAAGATGAGAGCTGCTACGGGGAAATGAACTCCATCTCAGCCAGAGCCAGTACATCATGTGTAACGGCCTCTGTCAGTAACTGCACAGTCACGGAAGTGTAATGACGGTAGAATTGGTCCAAATAAAGACATATCCAGTCAAAAAAACATCATTGCTCAGATACTACAAATTTACCTCATCAACAAAAGAATTCTGATAAGACAAGATTCGTTTTGTAACAATTTGCATTCAATGGTGTATAAATGCATTGACCAAAATTATGTCTTAGAACCTCAAATTTGGGACTCAACCAGTGTATTGTTAAAATAGATTAATTGTTATCTCCCTTCCAGAAAAGATTCAGGGCAACGTTCTTAATTTTCTGACAGATTACTTCACTGAAGACAAGTATAAGCTGTTTTATTTGCTAGTATGAACATTTTACAGATGGAATAGCCACTCGCAACACCCCCCCCCAAACCTGCACCTTGTACAGGCAATGAGGTACCTGTTCTCAAATCGCGATAGCCAAAACAAGAGTGGTGAAGGACTACCATCAGTAACATGGTAAGTCATGACTGAACTAGAAACAGGTGGCACGTGTCCTTGCAATCAGCTCAGCATCTTATTATTTCTATTCCATGTAACTGCTGTAATCAATCAGCCCCGTATACATACATTTCAACTGTCACTCCTTAAATTGGGAGTTTTCTGCATTATTGAATACATGGAACTGTGATTAGGGATTTGTAAGACTTGCCAGGCTCAGAAAGTTTTTGTATGGTTAAGTGACCTTTAAGTCTAAGTGTTAATGAGCTGAAAATTATTTAAAACATAGCTATCTCTTTTTGAGCACAGATATAGAAATATTAGAAAGCAAAAAAATTATTCCTTGGTTGGTTAGCACCATTAAATCTGCAAACACTGTCATTTCTGGCTGGGAATAGGAGTAACAACTATCACCCTCTCCTTCCTGTTGACTCCTGTGTCCCGCAAGTGAGCATATTATAAATAAAGGGGACATAAAGTTCATGAGTGTTTTGCTCCCATATGAATGACAATAATAGCCATCAAAAACCATATTGCCTGATTTCACCCTTATGCTAAGAAGTTCCCTTTCAGGTTATCACTCTAAACGTAGTATTTAAGATCTATCAGAGTAAAGGAAGTCAAAGGGAAAAAAAACAGTGACATCTGCTTTAGGATCTGCTGATCAGTAACAACAATTTTAATTACACCTAGAAGAAACTGATTCCATGAGCGAGCTCACATATATTTAATTGCTAGAAGTATAAGCAGGCATTTACAAACACTCCCCAATAGAACCGAGACATAAAGTACTTGCAAGAAAGTCTTAGATTACTAACCTCCAGAATTACATATGCTTACTATTATCCCGTGAGTTCAGATGGTATAATATTAAACAGCAAAACCAATCTACTCCCCCTCTGACCAAGATTATAAAATTGGTGTCATTCAGTTGGATTTTTGCCTGTGTGTACACCCATTATAAATGCCATGGTTTTTTTGTGTACATGTATATTTGCCTGTGTGACATCAATGTGTTAATATACAAACAGTGTGTGTTACATACATTTAAAGTATCTGTTTTGCGTACAGTTTGTGGTGGGGTTTTTTTGTTTGTTTGTTTAAACCCCGTATAAGCTTTTGTCATCCACATTTTTGTTTTCAGGGGTCCAAGGATCACTACTGAAAGATGCATGCAGAGTACAAAATGCATTTCTTGAAAGAAAGAAAAGAAGAAAAACAACATTACAAAAGCAAACTGCTTCCATCACTTACCCATCTGTCTCCCCTAAAGAGTTCCAGGTAATCACAATGCATGCTTTCGTCATACACGAATATCGTAGGGCTATGTCAGGCATATCACAGTCTTCAGAATTTTCTCTTATTCATGCATACACATAAATATGGATACAGTCAGAATGTCAGTTGATACCGTGATTACAAGTATCACAAGAGCTGACTTGGATGCATGATATATCAGAAGTTTGTCAGGCCAGGCTGTGGCTTGGACAGCTGTGTTTCGGTATGCAAAGTGTGTTGTTGCATGGCTTTCAGATGGGAAGAGGTGACTTTGCTTTGTGCCTTGCTCAGCCTGCTGAGGGGAGCACTTAGGGAAGAGGGAGGCACAGCTCCTCCCTTCCTTTCCCTCTTTGCAGATACAGGAAGGAGGAAGTTATTCCACATATCCTACCATATAAATGACTGCAGATGAGGACAGTCTGAAAAAGCACGAGGGAAACAGGACATTTCCTTTGGGTTTTTTGTGTATGATTATATATCTTGTGTTGTATTTTTTTCCTAAATCAAATTTCTCTTAGACATTTATTTCCTATTTATTTTTGGTCTGAAACTATTAACCTAAACATTTTAAAATTTCATAAATTTCTGTAGACTGACAACTAGCCATTATATTGATTCTGTTGTATTCTTTCTATGAGGCTTATTTATAAAAAACCTAAGCCCAAGCTTATTTCATATGGAACAGCCCCCCACCTTTCTCACTAAGCATTAATATGTGTCGAGCTCTTTTTGTAATCCTGACCTCCATGAAGCAAACTCACGGCCAGTTTGCAGTAGCAGTCACCATGTTACTTAGTGGACTGTTGCTAATAAGAGGATGAATTTGGTGTCCTGGCAGGAAGTTAAAGTATGGTTTGGCAAATACGTTTAGGCTTTGATGCTGTGAGTTGTCCTTTCCAAACAAGAGTTTCTGGGTGGTATTTTGAAGTTACGCAGTCTGCTGCTGTTTTCCTGGATATGATAACACTGCAACATGCCTGTTTTGTTAGAGACCATGCTGTATGAATACTGCACATTTACAATCTCTTCTTATGACCTTTTTTTCCCAGAAGTGGAAATGACAACAAATGAGCTCACACTGCAAGGACTCGAGTACCTCAAGGTACCTTGGAGCACAGCCAGGGCCTAGAGGGGAGCGGACCAGGCCCACAATGGGAGCTGCCAGAGCGGAATATCTCACCCTCAGCCTCTCTCATAGCTGACCCTTGCCTTTCAGTCTGGTTGGCTGTTGAAAGCCTGAAAATGCCACTTACACCCTCTTGGCTCAGGGCTTAGGTGCAAAACTGCGTAACTCACTGCTTGCTAAAGAGAACTTTCCTGAATTTCTAGCAGGGGCCATGGAGGAGTCACTGGCTCCCTCGGTTCAGAGTCCCCAGGCACACACTGCCAATAACCCTAAGGCTGATTGCTGCCGATTGAGGGTTTCAGTCCAGCTCAGCACATGGTGGGCACCCACCTGCCAGTGGGTGGAGTGGGATGGCCAGGAGCCACAGGGCTGCCCCTTCCCCTCGGGGCACCCCCACAACAGCAGAGCAGGACCTTCCCCTAAAGCTCCTGCTGCCTCTGGGCCTCCTGGGCGCTTGGCCTCCCTGCCAGCACCACTATCAGGCACGATGTGGCCCCTCACATGGTCAGTGAGGAGCCATGTCTCTTTGCTCCAAGACAAAATCATGACATGGCCCCTCACCGGGTCAGTGAGGAGCAGGATCCAGGAGCCCAAAATGCAGATGAGGAGGCTTGTTCCAAGTTGGCATGCCCTGAAGTGGAGAGATGGTGGAAACTGATACCTTCTCAGAGGTACCTAGTTCAGACTCACTGCACTTGGCCTTGTAGTTTTGGGAAACCCTTCTCCTCACCTTTCCCATAAAACTTCCACTTGCAGTACAACAGACTTGTTCATCTAGTCCTCAGGTACTGAAACAACTTGGCCTTTTTTTAAGTCCTGCCTGTTACAATTTTGTCTTTTCTCTTCCAGAGGTGAGGCAACATCACTCTCCAAATAGGTGCTCACATATTTTGGTCTATCTAATGTGCGCCAACAAAGGATAACACATGGTCCTTCGCTGAGGTGAGGCAGCAGCATTTCAGGGAGTGAAGGCTGAGGTTGCAATATGGTATGCTGGCTTGATGCAGGATCTCAAACTTCAGCAGTTAAGAATAGCAGAAATTTTTCTTCAGAAATGGACGTTCAAAGGAAACTTTGCTTGCACAGCAGCTGCAGCCATAAATCTAAAAGGCAGAGAGAGGGGAGATAAAGTATTACATGAAAAATCCCAGGAGTCAAGATAATGGCATTTCCAAATATAAAAAGAAAAAATTCTGTCTTTTTCAACCCAGATCCTCAGATTTAGCTTTAAAAGCACTCTCAGAGAAATTCAGCCTTTTACTTCAAGACAACATTTTTGTTCCAAGACAAAAAAAATCAATTTAGAAATATGGAGGTAAAGAAACCTCCATCCTCTAGTCAGTTCAAATATTCAATATCATCAGTTCAGGGATGAAATAATGCAGGACATTTTTATGATTTTAGCCTATGAATTGTGAAATGTATCTTCACTTTAGTAGCATATTGGTGATTTGTATTTTAAAAGCCTAGATTCTCTCTCTCTTTCTGGACAGAGTTTGAACTCACATCCTGCGTTATGATGTCTTGTGAGTTTAATTTTCACATGCTATTCTTCAATATATATATATATATATAGCTGGAGAAATTTAGCACAATTCCAGCAAACTTTTTATAAAGTACCAAATGATGACAAGATCCATTAACTTGTATTTTCAAGGAATTCTGGGAAAGTTCTTTTGCCCACTTCTGCTTCCAGTGCTCACGAGCAACTCTACAAAGTTCATACCTTACCATGCCAAAAGACTGCTGGCAAACATTTTTTTCCATGAAGCAGACAGTTTGTAATTAAACATTTGTAGATGGCTGAACTCAGTAAGTTATGAATGCTCAGGGACATATAAACAATCCTACAACAAGAATTCATTCCATAATTTGAGTCAACAAAGCAAATGAGTTCTAAGCACAATTTAATGAAGTCTGCAAGACAACACAGTTACACTTCTCTCTCATTTAAATGGTTTTATGAGAACACTGTACTTACACAATATTTTTTAAAAGGTGAGGAAACCAGCAGGAAAGGAACATTCTCTATGTTAATGTTACTCAAAGCACAGGTCAGACTAAAGAACAAGTGTGAAACCAGTAGAAAATACCATCAGTTCTTCTGGAGGTTAGATTTAAATATTTTTGCTTTTTTCCCCTCTTAATAACACCATCCCTCATTTCTGCAGATCCTGATAGACCATTCCATTCCTACTCTTTAGTTCTGCAAGTTCTGGTGCAACTTATATTAGTAGGTCTATGGTAAGGTTGGCCAGCTGCTAACTTTTTGATCATGATTTTTTCTTATGCACCATAGAAGCTTTGCAGCAACAGATGAAATCCATAGAGAATTTTAACACTGTTTGGTTGAGAAGTAGAGTGAAGAATTTGTGGGTTTCTGTGCCATGATAATACAGCTAGATTGCTTTGGGTTCATCACATTTTGAGGATCTATTAGTGCTGGACCAGGGTATACATCTTGGCCAGTCCTTTGCATATTTATCAATTTGTTGCATTGCACAGGTGTTTAGTGTCCCATACTGATTGTAGTTTCTGAGCAGCTTTCCATCAGCTCAAAATCTGATGAGATATTTACTGTAAAGGGGTAAGTGTAAATATAATGCCTTTGCCAGTCCCTAGGAAGGCAACATGACTCCAGCTCATGTGTGAGCAAGCTTAAAACAGGTTGGGAAAAGTTGAATATTTGGGTTTGATTTAAAAAAAATATTTTGACATTTCTGAACTGATTTTTTTCCTAAACATATTGGTCTCTGAAAACGCCAATTTGGGATGAAAATAGTTTGGAAAATATCAGCCTTTTTCCCTAGGAAGGAAATTTCATCTGTCAACTCGCTGTATTATCCAAAACAAGTCAAGGGCAGAAATAAGTAGAAAACACATGTCCTAAATAGGTACCTCTCTGTCTATTGCTGAGCCCAAGGAGTTTAGCTCAAATGGGAACCATTTGGGTTGGGCTGCTTGCCCTTTTTTTTAATGGCCTAATTTTGCATCAGTAGCCATGACTATCATAACAATGAAAACAAAGAAAAACATGGAATTGGACTCAGAATTAGTACATTCTGTCTGCCTGTTAGAGGGAAGTCCAAGTCAAACCTTCACTACCAAATACACACTAAGTTTTCAGGAGGTTCGACTTGGGATTCAGAACTTCTAACTGAAGTTCATCTCTGCTAGAAGTAATTGTATCAGATCTGGTTATGAAAAACAACATGCAGGCTTCCATATTTTGCTAGCAGATTTATATTCTACAGCACCTTGGAGTTATTCAGTTACAAAGGAAAAGAAAGAAAGTGTCTTTAAGTTCTTTGTCATAATTTTGGCAGCGTCAGGGGCTTCTGAATTAGCTCCTGTAGATAATCCCAACAGGTCATGCTGCTCTGGTTTCTGACTTCCCTTCACTTTGCATGATCCCTGACAGTTGTTCAGTCAGGAGAAAACCTGCTTTGTCCCTTCAATGTGCTGGAAGCAGGCTGTGCTGAATGCTTCCCTCCTACTCCTAATGTTGGAGCCTGCACAGTGCCCTACATCAGCTTCACTATCAGCAGCTCTTGTCAATAGTTGCAGCGGAGGACTTATTCCGCAGATATATACAGATATTTACAGTTCTTGATTATTAACGCACTTAAAAGAAGCCAGGAATAAAAGTGTATGACGCACCATCCTGCCTGATCTTTCCTTAAGGAAATGCTTTTTCTGCCTATGAAGTAAAAAGAGAATATGAAAGAACACACGAAACAGGATAAGTATGACACAAATAAAGTAAAGTAAATATGTTAATATTAGATTGCCTCCTTAATAAAGGTTCAGGCTTTGATCTTGAACACACACCCCTTTGAAACTTCCCAATATTGCAACTGATGATGAAGGGCAACAGACTTTCTGCTTGGGAAGGAGCCAAGCTCCATGCATCACATTATTTTTCCCTCTGTTGTATGTTGCCTTTTAAACTAATAACTGAATGTGAAGATGTAGAAATCAAAAAAGTGAACCTCAAACCTTGCTGATGTACTCACTGTGCCGAAGTGAGGGACATAGCACTGCCAAAGTACCAGAAAGCTGGACACACATGGACCTCCCTGAAGTCTCCAGCACAGAAGCCTACAGCTCTCTAGGTATCATACTTGCATGTAATAGCCTGGCACTGCCAGACTATTCCCACCTGTGGAAAGTTGTAGAAAGCTTCTAGGTTTATTACACATGGGAAGAGTGTTGGTTTAGATGAAAAATCTCAGTCATATCTGAGATTGTTCACAATTCAATATATAAAATGTAGAGCTGAATGTGCTGAGCTCTTTAAAGAAAAGGCTGCTATGTGGTGTTTCTGGATATACTGCTTGATACTCTTCCACTCTGTGCATGAATTATTTCTTTATTTTTTTAAGTTTGAAACTAGTGAACTATGCATGAGGGAGAGAGATGATGGACACAAACACAGTATATCCTGTTCCTCTCAGTTCTGTTCCTTCCATTATAAAAAAAAACAGTTAAAAAATCCCTAAAAGGAACTGTGAGTTCTTGAGGTGCCAGGGAATGAAAAGACCGATTATTCATTTAATTCATTTTCTACACAGAATTTGAAGAAAAAAATGGAAATAAAATGTTTGGAAGAAAGGCAAGTTCTTTTCAACTCTTCTGAGAAACAGAGAAAAATGGAGCTTGAACTTCTTGCTTGGAAATGTCTCTTCTGTGGGGGATATGATAAAATTTTAAGGGACAAATTTGAGCTGTGATGGATGACTTGTGGTTGTGACTTTTCAGCAGACAGAAGGAAAGGACATTTTTCATTTCAGACTCATGGAAAACTCTCATAAAATAAGGAAGAGAGTGGTAAACATGAACATGAAATGACTCAGGTTATTTCAAATGCAATGCAAAGCCTAAAAATGTGACCAGTGACAACTAGGCCGACAAACTATAAATATAAGGAGTCATGAGAAGCTGGCTTGATATAAATGGCTT